GGCGGGGCCGCGCCCACGTGACGGGTGCCGCCATGAGCCGGCCCGAGGGGACGCGCAGCGCCCGCCGCTCTCTGCAGGTGAAGTTCGTGCCCGACGAGGATGTCCTCAGGCACATCGCCGACGACGCAGGTACAGCCGGCCCGGGGTGTAGCCCAACCCAGAGCAGCCGCGGCGGCCCCCGGGAAAGGAACTCTGCAGCCTGGCAGAAGCCTGGCAGAAAGACGAGGCCTCCGGAGCTGTTCTGCCCCGCTTGACCCCTCCGTGGTCCCAGGCCGGCACTGGACTGGCTGCGGGCGGGGCGGGTACGAGCTCTCGGTGCAAGCTGCCCCGCAGCATCGTGTACCGGGTGCCAGGGCAGCGGCGCAGGGAAACTCCTCGGGCCTGACGCGGTTTAACACTCGCAGTCAGCGGGACGAGGCTCCAGGTGTTTGCTGTAGGAGCGTTTTGCAGCAGTTCTGACTACTTTTAAGGTGGGGAACCTCTGTAAAGATGCTTAAAACTTGCCGGTATACGGCACGGGGCATCCGGTTCAGACTTCACTGCTGGTCCTGCTTTGAGCAGACGGTCTTCATGCAGATGGTCTCCAGAGGGCTCTCAGCCTAAATTCTCCCATGAGTGTACTGAAAGCCTACAGGCAAAGTATCTTCCAATTGCTCCTCTTCTCTAGGAAAAATAAGGGTTGACAAGTACCATCCCCTTTGTATTCAATTTGATGCGGTAATGCGTGAGCCACTGTAATTTCTCCCATTTCTCTCTGTGTTCGCTGAAATGGGTGTCTGCAACCAGCATTTGTGGCGAAGGAGGGATGAATGGCTGTCGGGTCAGCTACTGATAAGCTGCTCTATTAGCAGGACATCTCAACGTTGGATTTCTTTAGTTTGCATAACAGGAACCTGGTCTCTAAGTCGGATGGCTGCGTACTACTGCAGTAGAAATAATGAAGTAGCAGGAGGTTAAAGCTTTTATTGCAATTCTAGGAACTAAAGTACGGAAGGACAAGGCTCAGCTGAGTGTCAGTGTGAAGAGATTTGTGAAGAAGCTTGAGAATATTTCTGATAATGAAGCTCAGGAGATCCTGGAAGAGAAGAACTATGTTGCTGCTCTTGGAATATGTGCCCAAGGTATTAGCCTGGGAAAACCTAACACAGATCTGACTTCAGGAGACTCTTGCAGCGTTAGGGTTGTAAAGTGTTGGTGAAATTGCTTTTGAGGGCTCAGTCTGCTCTGTGCTTGTGGTAACAAGTAGAAGAGAAGATTATGATTCTAGGATTTTATTATTATATTTGTTTTTTAACACCTGCAGTATAAAGCCAAATAGTGAAATGTTGCATTCCATCTTTCTTGGGTTGGGAATATTATCAGTGCTTTTAAAATAGCTGCAAGTAACATTTCTTTTCACAGATTCAGTGGGAAATGGCTCAAATATAAGTGGTGGTGAAGTTTACTCATTCCAGACTCCCAAACGCTCCAATAAAATGGCAGAGCTGGGTATGTTTTACTCTCTTTTTCTCTGAAGACTTAGGAGAAGCAAGCAGAAAATGGCAGTTCCAAAGAGGGTGGACTGTTTTGGTTCAAATAAGGTGCTTGAGCCAGGTTGTCACTCCTGTCCAGTCACCTGTCACCAGGTTGAAGAGTCTTTGTTATGTCCAGCACCATCTGGACTTCATTAGTATTTATTTATCACAGCTAATGATACAATCCTACAAAGGATTATCTGAGGGAGAAGGATTATCCTACTGTATCACTATACAGAAGCTGGTTTTGGTGCCTCTTAGCTTCTGCTGTGTCTTGGGAAGTTATGTTTCCTGTCTTAGACCTCCTTCTGCAGCAGGGTGGATTTCATTGGTTCTCCCTCCTTGGAGCTGTGACTCAGTTTGAAAACTGAGGGAGATCATGCTGTGACAGTCTGTTAGTCCCAGTGTTGTTACATGGAGCAAGCAGACTGTTGGTCATACAATGGTAGAGACTATTAGCAGGATATGCTGACCTTTCAAATTCACATCAGTGATTCAGATTCAGCTTCAGCTTGTACTGGTAAGGAGTAGACACAGGTAAATAGTTCCTCCTGGGGAACTGTTTTTGCTATACTGACACTGCTAAACTGTGTTTGCTATATCTGATGATCTGTTATGTCCAGCTGAGCAGTCTTAAAGGACTAAGTAAGCCTGACCAAAACTTGCTCTAATTCAAGGACATGTAGTCTCCCAGGGAGCAAAACATGTTCTGCTGTTGCATTTGCTGTATTTGTAAAATTAATTAATTGATGAGTTCAGCCTTTGAAAATCTTTACTGAGGAATACAGCCAACTTTAGGGTTAGAAAAATTTAGAAGTATTTGGTTCCTGAAATAGCAAAGGAATTAATATGTGGAGGGCATTTCAGGTGTATGGCTCCATTTCTGACAAGACAGAGCTGGAAGTTTTATACCTGACATGTGCTTCCTTCCCTTCCCCCTGTTTCCTTACAGCCTCTGAATTAGCCCAGACACCAGAAAAGAATGTGGCGCCTGATCATTCCAGGTGCCCTGAGAAGATGGCCAAAACCCCTCAAAGCAGTAAGTCCTGTGATGGTTTGGGCAACTGCAGCTGAGTGAGTGGGAGTTATGTTTCTATTTGGGTGGTGGAGTGGATGCTCAAGTATTCTAGTCAGGTTAACACCATGGACTGAACTGTTTGATGTGCATGGCCTGTGCTTCACCTGGGTGTCAGATCTCTTCTGCCCTGCTGCTCTAGAGGAAACATGAGCTTCTCTCTCATCTATTGCTTTGACATTTAATGACTTCCTCTCAGTTCAACAAAAATACTTACACTTGAGAGAGTTATGAGCTGGGCTGGTGTGTTAAACACCATTTGGGTAGGACTGTGTGGGTGTTCATGTGTAAATTAACTTTGTTATATAATATTTAACACCTAGTGCTGCAGAGAGAAATAAAAATGTGAGAAGTCAGTGCAAATCAACACTGGCAAAAGCATGTGCATTTGTGTTTGGAGGTGGAGTCTGGTGTGCTCAGGGAGAAAATATTAGCTCATTTTTCAGCCTCCTCCCTCCTGCTGGAGTCTCTTCTTCCTTCCTGGCCTTACAAAGCTGTGACCAAGAATTAAAAGCTGCCTTCTGTGATAATAACATTGACTCTTGTCAGGCAGGCTGCTGGAGCCACCACAGACTCACAGCCAGAATGCAAAATTAGTAAATTTTTGAGTAAATTGAGTAAATTTAGTTATATTACGTTCCTGAAGCAACACCCAAGCAGAGGGACAGAGCTGTTCACATTGGTCTGTCAGCAGTTTTGCACACGTGTGTTTTATCCCCATGCTGTGATCTTCACTGTGTTCTGATCTGTCTGTTAGGGTGCCTCCAGGCCTAGCAGACACCTAGGTTATCTATATACAGATGTTCTACTTCCCAAAGCATACACAGGGTAAACAGCAATAGACGTGGTGTATCTGTTTTTCTGCACTGCTTGAGTCTTTGCTATCCCCAGCTGCATGGTCACTTGAGCATATTTACAATTCTCCTTGCTGGTCTTCCACTTCTAACCCATTCCTACCAGCAACTCTCTTTGTTCTCTCCTTGCCTACCTGTGAGAAACTAGAGGCTTCCCTCAACGGATTAACTATCCAGGGAGCTGATATTCTGGTGCAGTGTACCTTTGAACAGTGAATGCCTGTTCTTCTAATGGGCCATCTGGTGCCACTGCTGAAAATTTGCAGTACTCTGTACAATGCTGTTTCTTTCTTTTCAGAACGTTCAAGTTCAACCAAAGTGCAGCAGAGGGTGAGTAATGACTTTACATTGCTTAGATTTTGTGTTTGGGTTTCTTCCCCACTTGGACGGGCCAATTACTTCCGTTTTAGAGAGGAAGGACCTTGAAAAGCATAATCCACAGTAGAGGTGTCTCTTCTGTTCTAACCAGACAGGAGTAACTCAAGTGAGAACCATGAATCCAGGCTATGGGGTTTGGAGTCAGTGGGCAAACAGGAGGTTTGACAGCTTAATTATCATGGGTGGAAACTATTTCCTTGCATCACACAAGTGAGGATGCTAGACAATCCCTTAGTACACAGTTAAACTCACAGCTTTCCAGTTTCTCAGTAAAGGAAGAAATAGCCCTAATTGTAAGAAATGCTGTTAGAACAGGAGTTCCAGAACTCTGATGCTGTCCAGTTTCTTGCTTACCATTGGTTTATAAAGAATAAACTGGGGTAATGGGCAGATGTAGGTTGATGTTGTGTTTTGTGATGCTACAGAGAGATACAGTCCAGAACTGTCAGTTGTGGTGGCTGTGGAGTGAAAGAGTTTGCTTTCTAAAATGATCAGCATCATAGCAGAAATGTGTAAACAGCTTTTCTGGAATGAGGTTCCAGGATGAAATACACCTGAAAAAGATACACTCTTTGGGGATGCCATATTCACTGTTTGATGATTTCACATCCACTTTGTCAGGATCAATGGAAGTATTTCCTAAGTATTGCAGACTTGATTCAGTGTCTGAGTCAGGCATGTGCTTTATGCATATGTAAGGAAGATGTGCCACTACAACTTGGTGAGCCCAGGCAGCTTGGATTCCTTTGCTGTACTTTTGGGCTGAGTGGTCTTCTGGCATTCTGGTAGTTGTTTTCAGGACTTTTAGATGACTTTGAGTAGACAGCATGATATGGAAGGTGACTGCTGTGGGGACAGAAGCATTTCCAGTTTGTCATTGCTTTGGTTTGACTGTGCCTGAGGGGCCAAGATAGGCATCTTGGTTGGAGATTTCACAGTTTTCTACTCTGCATCTTGAGCTGAAAGAATTAAGCCCCTTTTGGAACTTGATCCTGTCTCCCTCTGCTTTTCCAGTTTCACATGGGCTGAAGTAGGTTGAAAATGTAACCTGTCTGTGCTTGGCAGAGGGCTGTTAAGAGGAGGGAGATGTTTCTTCTAATGCATGTTTTTTCTTTGCTGTTCCAGAATAAAAAGAAAGAATTTGTGTCCACTACACCATACAGACTCAGAAAGAGACTAACAGGTAAAGATCAGCCTTTGCAGTCAGCTGCCACAGTCAGTGAGGCACTGTGTTCAAGGGAGAGTGTTTTACTGTTGAGCTTCTGTCTGTGGTAGCAGCGTGACTGAGACAATCTGTTTCATCCTGCAGAGTGTAGAAACGTCCTTAAGGAAATCTATGTAGACCTTTCCTCTACAACTGATTGCTACTAAGGTGAGGGGTGGAAGAGTTAGAAGCACCAAGTTACTGAACTTCAGTAACATGACCAAAAGAGACAAAACTTTCAGTAATCTTACCTATGCTGACATTTAGTATGTGGTATGCTTATACCAGGCATAAAACTTTTTGGTGATGGCTGGGACATCAGTGTCAAAATATTTCCAATAACTGGTTGACAAAGGCAGAATGAATGCAAAGGAGAGTTTATTACATGGTGCTTCATCTTCTATTTCTTCTGTGTTGAGAGACCAAGACCGAGCCAGATTTCATCTGTGCTCTTCAATCAGCCCTGCTAACAGAGGTATTTTACAACAACATTTTTGGAGAATGTGATGTAGAAGATCCTCAGCCTGCATGGTTGACCTTTGGGAAAACTGAAATAGAGATGCTAAGAGAAATAGGGAATACCATTGTTTGTTTTCAGTCTCTTTCTATGGTACAATGATGTTTCTTAGTTGATATCAAGGAGGAAGCTTTACTTAACAGTACTTTGTGATCCTAGAACTGCAAAATAAATGGCCATCTGTGTTTGCAGTTCTCTTAAGCATTGATTTTACCTTTCCATGAAATATATTTAGGATTCATGTACTTGTAAAACATCTAGAGAATGTGTGTGAGATGGTACAAAATAAATTCTGTGTTAGAAGTCAGTCCTAGCTTTTAACCTTAAAATTTATGCTCTAGCTCCAGATCCCTATTTAGAAAGTGAGAGTGAATATTCTGCTTCCTGCTCGGAGGAGGAGGATGAGGAAGATAAGAAAGAAGTCAGCACTGTTTCAGATCAAAAGACTCCGGCAAAAACTAAGGCTGCATATACACCTCCACCCAGAAACAGCCTAACCAAAAAAATTAAGGAGCAAAAGATGGTGAGTGTGCAAAAACATATTCTTGAGCTAGCAAACGTGAAGGGATGTATAGTGACAATAAGCTGTTAGTGAACTCACCTGACCTTGGGGAAGAACTGCTAAACTAATTTCGTACCAAAGCAGCTGGGCTGGCTTTTGCTGCACTTCTGGGTAATCCCTGTTGGACAGGGACCATGTGAACCTCTTTGCTAATCCAGCTGGCATTATTAGCAGCTTCAGAAGGGGAAGTCTAAGGTGAGATATCCATGGAGCGGGAGACCTTGTATTGAGACAGGGTGAAGAAAATGATTCCTGTAGTACCAAAAGCACACAGTACTGTTGTCTTGGTGTTCAGCATAATTGTCTTACTTCCTTCCAACCCAGGGATTCCCACACCAATTAAGAATCACTGTTACGTTACCTCTCTCAGAATCTCTTTTCTGTCTCTCTCTTCAGGAAAGAATCATCTGACTAGGTTAGCATTGGTAGAATGCTGCTATAGAAGCCATTTTTGCAAATATTTTCTGTCTTTCTATATTCACCCTTGCTCAGTGTCTCATTTGCCATCTTAGGGAGAGGGGCAACTTGATAGCCAGAGTATTGTTGCTCATCTTGCTGTCCTTTTATAGAGCAACCTGGTGGAGGAATACTTTGAAGCTCACAGTAGTTCCAAAGTGCTCACTTCAGACCGAACGCTTCAGAAGTTGCGGAAAAGAAGATTTAATCAGGTACAGTTCATAGTGAATAACAGAAGTCTCAGAGTCTTTGATTTCTATGGTAGAGAGTTCCCTCATCAAAATTTCCTGATGTTGCTATTTTCACTTTATTTCTGCTCTTTACATGGTCAGTGGTAATGCTGGTTTAAGTAGCAATTAAAGCAGTATGTTTTCTACTGTTGCTCTGAGGAGGGACAGTGCTGAGTTGTTTAAAGGTGAGACAGTAGGAAAAATGCAGGGAGAAAGCTCTATCAGGTGAGCTCACAGCTGAAAGCTGCAGTTACCAGAAAAGGTTAAAGTTTGCTTTTGAGGGGAGGGGAGGAGAAGAGGGAGAAGCAGAATTGTAGACTTGCTTTGAAACAGCATTTTTGTCAATGAAATGGTAGGGGAAATTACAAATCGTCTTGTTTATGTCATTTATGCGTAGAGGAAATCAAGAGAGCTGATTTCATCTAAACATTACTGGGTCAAACCACTTGCAGAATTGGAACAGCTCTAAATGTTGTCACCTAGTTTGTTAGATGTACTTTGTTTCTTTGCAGTTCCTAGGAGACAGGAATAGTCTGTTGGTGGTGACTGAATTGCTTTATTTTTCTCCACGTGTTACTTCCACAGGACAGTTCAAATCAAGCAGTTGTACCTTACAAGGACAGGTCTAAGGGAACTGTGTAGAATACCTGGAGCTCTTGTGTCTGTGACTACTTTTTGTATCCATTTGTGTTTTAAGAATGCAGACTGCCTGATGCCTGCTGTTGTCTGGAATTGCTGCCCAGAGTAACATCTGGATTCTTAACAAGTTCTTTCATAACAGCTGTGGAAGGAAATCAAGGCTTACAGTGTTAAAACTACTGGCTTCAAAGCAGTTGAAGGTTTAGCAGTTCTGTCTCTCAGTACTTTGTTTGATACATTGCAGCTGCCTTTCCAGTGTGAAGTGTCTTCTACTGCAAGGGAGTGGGAAGCAAAGCTGTTAAAATTGAAGAGAAAGAGAGGCCAGTATAGATTTGATGCTGACTATCATGCTAATGTCTGTTTAACATCAGCATCACATCATATCTTCAAAGTTGAATTAATCCTTCGATTCTTGATGCTTTTCTACATTGAGCTATCAGCTGCAAATTATATCCTTCCTGCCGTATTTTTTTTTAAGATGTTTGGTATTTTGAGCTTCTTCTTGTAGTGACCTGAAACCTTTCTAAGCATGTTGATTGGAGCCTTCTTCCCCATGAGCAGGGATGTGATGTTGTGTCTTGTTGGTACAGTACTTGGTGCTCTGTAAGCTCTGTGTCTGTTTTTCCTGTAGTGGTTTTCCCATACTTGGCAGGAAGAAAAAAGTACACAGTGTGTCATCTGTCCTAGTACCTAGTACCTAGCTGCCATTTACCATAATAAGGTTACTTAATCTCTGCTTTGTGTCTCCAGTAGCAAAACTGCGCTTCATGGGGCCTTCATGGGAAGGAAAAGAAACTAACCACAGGCAGAGTGCACTGACAGTGAAAACTATTCTCTTTAGATAGGGAGCATGCTAGAGGTTGTTTTAAGCACTCCAGGTATATCTCTTGCTTTTTCTCAGCCTTGAATGACTGTCATTTCTTTCTCAACACAGCAAACACTGCATGATCTTTTGAAAAATGCTCCCCTTGCCTATGCTGCTGAAATTAGAGACCTTAACCAGCAACATGAAACCTTGTTTTCCAAGTGGATGCTGCAGTTACAGTAAGTATCCAAGGAGAATCACTGAAGAAGCTTAGTTAAAAGGCACTGCCAGTAAACTTACCCTCATGTCAATAACATCCTGTGGATGAATTAAGGAGCAATTTTTTTTCTTCGATTGCTTAAATTTAAAAGTGGGTGACAATAATTTAATTCAGTGCTTCCAGTAGACAAAATCCTATCTGATTAACTCCTTGAACCAAATTCTGAAGTGGCATTCTACCTGCATGTGCATGGTTAGTTTGCCTGTGCCTCTCTAAACAAAGCTAGAGGGCATTCGCAAACAAGGAACATGAATAGTAAGAGAACAGAGAAAATTAATTATGAGAAAAGTGCTCTTTGTGAGGAATCATTTTTGTTTACAGCAGTGTCTTCATGGGAAGGAGAAGGGTGAACATTTAGGAAAGCAAGTGGAACTATAGAGACCCTGTGAGATTCTGAAGCACCTTAAAGAAAGCAGACTACCATCTCTGAGGCTGGAGCCAGTATTGGTGATAAGAAAGCCTCTTGGAAGCTTTTGCAAAGAAGTGGAGTATAAGGAAATCTGTGGTCCATGGGGAGGGACAGAGAGTAGGAAGAAGGCATCAGCTCTGAAAGTTGGAGACTAGCAAGAGGAGGAATTCTCTGTTACTTGATGAAACAGGCAGGTGGTTAGAGATGTATATGGAAGGGCAGAAGAAACAAATCCCTTGATGACAATGAAGGCAGTGACAGCTGTTGAACACCTTACCTTTGCCTAGTGCTATTTGAGTAACCTGATACTCTTTCTTTCTGATCAAAATAATGCTTTTCCTGCTTCTCAAATCTAAACAAAGCTTTGATTGCTGTGATGACCTACCCCTGAGAGTAAAGAAGTGTTTAAGATTCAGAAATGCGTGTTGGTCAAAAGGAATGACAGAAGTCAGGGGGTCCACAAACCATCATAGAGTTTTATTCATAAAGCACACACTTGGCATCAAAATTGGTATGTTAGTCCCTGACCTACTATATAGGTACCTGGCACTGGGTTTTGGATAAAGGGGCAGGGTGAAGGGAAAAGAACTTAATTTTAAAAAGGAGAGTTGAATTAAAAAGCAAAAAAGAGATCACCAGGCCTTGCTCCAGCATTGAGCTGGCTGAGAGGATGCTGCTCCTGGATTCAGCATTGATCCAGGTGATAAGTGACAGTCCAGCTGTGTTGGTTCAGCTGATGAGATGCCCATGGTCTGGGGGCTATTGCCTGAGCTTGTGCAGGGAGTTTGCCTTTTTATGGACAGGTGTCTCTGCCCAAAAGACAAGTTTGTCACCTTCTATGCTAATTAGTTATTATGCACAGTTTGTTCTTTTAGGCCTTTCTGGAAAAGGGTCAGAGGGCTTTGGGGATCCTTGGTAGTCGCAGTCCCACCTTATAGTCCATGTCCACTTCCTGCCAGTCATTGCTGTGCTGACACTGTACTTTGTTGTTGTTCTTTCTCATGGAAAGGTTTTGCCCTATCTCCACCTGGGCCCTCTTATCCAGCCAAGTGTTGTTCTTTACCACAGCAAGTTAATACGACTAGTCCTTGATTATTACCAATTATTCTTGTCTGTTACTACTTGGTTGGCTTCACAGCCATCTGGTTATTGGTGTTTGAGACATACTATCAGTCAGTTACCTTCTGGGAATTGAGAGCTCAAGAAGATCTCACTCTGAACTACTGCTTGCAGTGGTGCTAGAGAGTGGGCTTTAGTATGCACAGTCCCCATAATGGAGGGCTCAAAGGGTCTCACTTTAGACTGCTTTTATAGGGATACAGGACAGTGGGCTTCAGTCAGAGTCATTTTTTCATCCTGGCCACAATTTGAGTCAGTAACTTGCTTTGAAGGTTCAGCAACAGAAATATTATTCCACTTGTATTGTTACTCAGGCAAGAAGAAAGAGTTTACAAGGCTGCTCATTAAAAAACAGGTGCTCATTAGACAGTATTAGTTCATGGGAACAGTCATTGTTTCTGATAATCTGGTTTAGTCTAGGTGCAGTTCATCAAGGCTGAGGCCTAATGAGCATTTATGAGCATTTCCCATATCACAGGGCAGCCTGAGGGAGGGTGAGGGGTGCAACTAAAGTAAGTTTTTCTGGGTCTCTACAGATCCATACCATGCTGTCTTTATGCTTTCCTATCTCTTTTTCTGTGTAACAATGAGAATAAGAAATATACCATGAGTATAGAGTAATTTTGCTTTGAAATCGTGCCTGAGGATCAGAGTGTAAAACCAGTATGAAGGTTTGCTTTTTTTTCTTGTAATTGCTGTGACCTGTAGTAAACATTTAATACAATTACTGGTGAGGGGATGTGTGTGAATGTTGATTACCATTTCTTGCCTGAAGTTGTAGATCTAGTATTCTGTTCTTAGTCAATAGCATTTTCTTCCATCAATGTTTTGCTAAGTTTGTGAGCCTCTAGGCTGCTAAAATGATTCTTTTGCTAGGATGCATATGCCAGATTTCAGATTCCTTGTAGCTAACCTTATTTATCAGCTGTAAGCTTAAGGTAAGCCTGGAGTTGACAAAACGTGAAATTTTTAAAACCAAGATTGCAGAGGATCATTTTGCTTACTGAATGTATGGACCTAAAATCACACTTGAACTTTTCTGATCCAGTGTCTTTTTCACTTTTCTGCAGCTTGGGTTTCAATATTGTGCTTTATGGACTGGGCTCAAAGCGTGATCTGTTGGAGAAGTTTCGTACGTCTCTGCTCCAGGATTCTGTTCACCTGGTGGTTAATGGATACTTCCCCAGCATCACTGTGAGATCTGTAAGTGTGGGAAAAGCTTGTGGGTTTATGTAATCATCCTGTGATACAGATACCTCTAGTCTTTCAATGTTAAGGAGAAAATGTTAAGGAAACCTACTGCACTCTATAGCAACAGACTCTGAATGAAGAGCAGTTCTTCTTTCTTCTAATACTTTGACGAAATGATCCCATACATTTCCAAGGAATTGCAGTAATTTCTGTCATTAATAAATATTCATCACTCTAAAGCCTTGTTTTATGTCACTGTTTTGAAAAGGGGTATAATTTTTTTATGTTGGCTGTTTTAGGGATTTTATGGTAATAATCAGATTATCTCTCCCAAGGCAGCTGAGGGCTCAGTTTCAGATTTTCTGCACTTCGGTGTCAGAGCTCTTCATAAGGAACTCCTGTTGTCTTTTTCAGATTCTCAACTCCATCACAGAGGAGGTTTTGGACCATATAGGGACCTTCCGCAGCCCCCTTGACCAACTTGAATTCATTAGCAAAAGGTTTAAAGAAGGTAAAATGACTATATACATAAAAATGTTAGGGTCTATTTACTGTTAAGAGAGCCTGGACATTTTCTTCCCTTATAATTTTTATACAGACAGTTACAGTTTCTTAGTATACAGCTAGTATACTATCTTGCTTGTAATTTATGCAGCATATATGAAAATATGCATGCACCAGGAGTATATGTGTACATACATGTTTAGCAGCTCCATGTAAGCTGTCACCTCAGTAAGAGTATTTTACACTAAGACAGTACTGTCAAGCAAGCAGGTTAGAATTGGTTTCAAAAGTAAAATTAAATGGGTATTGCCTCACAAAATGCTTGCTGAATTATTTATGAATGTCTGTCTTACTGCTTGTATATTCATACACAAATTGCCATGGAATCTTAATTGTGCATGGCACTGGTGTTTCAGTGTTTCCATTCTGTTTTTCATCATTACCTTATGAGTATTTCTGCTGGGACAAAGTGAAAAAGGCGGGGTAACAGCAGTTCCCACCTGAAAGTCAGTCTTGCAGTATGCTATAGCTGATCTGACTGGTTTCCACTGGCAGGCAAGTAAACTGGTTACAGTTCTAGAATTGTTTCTGGACTCAGGAAATGGTTATTCCCAGGGATAAGTACAGCAGCAAGAAGCTAGCTGGAAATTTTAATATCTACCATTTGTGTTATCTGAGCTAGGTCTCTAACTTTTTTTCAGAACTTGTTAAAATATTCAATGAGGTTATGATGCTTTGGATCCAACCTTGAATAGAAAATGCATTTTTAATGTGAGGAGAAGTTTAAAGATCCTAGTCATGTAAATCAAAAGCAGCTGAATAAACTGTGCTCAGACTTCCATACTAAAATATATTTAAATGACCTTCAATTGCTAAAGAAACACAGCTAAAGGGACAATTCCTGATAAAGCTGTGAGCAAGTGGAAAGTGGATTATAACAGAAAAGCTTAAACTGAAAAAAACCAACCCTGCAGCTGTGATGACAGTGAATTGAGCACCCTTTTAGGTGCCCAGAAACACACAGTATAACCCAGGTTCAAATTAACCTGTACAAGGAAAGTGATATTGGAGTGATGTATATGGAGAGTGGTGGAATAGACTTGTACTATGCTGCACTGGGAATGGGAAACCAGCTTGTGTGCAGTTTCCTTGACTGGTTCTCTGCTGTTTTTTCTGACCTTGCAGATTCATCTTTAGAGCTCTATGTCCTCATTCACAACCTGGACAGCCAGATGTTGAGAGGAGAAAGAAGTCAGCAGATCCTTGCACAGTTATCCTCCCTGCCTAGCATTTACCTCATTGCCTCTATTGATCACATCAATGCTCCTCTCAGTGAGTTCCTCTGGGCCTGATGTAGCCAAGAGAAGAATCTATGTTCTGCTTTGGGGCTGCTAAGCATTTTTCATAAACTCATGTATTTGCAGGAGCTCAGGACTTCTAATCAACGAACCAATATGATTGTGCAGAAGCCGTTGATTGTTTACATTATGCACTTATTTATAGATTCTAAAACTACTGTTCATGTGATCACACATTATTTGATTGGTGCTTCTATCTTGCTCACACGCTGAGCACGCAATCCTCAGGTTTTGTGATTGGTCACTGTGCAGGTGTCCAAATGCCTTCTGTTATCTGGTTCTTGTGGTCTTGTTTTTCTGTTTCTCAGCTTCTTCCTTCTTATTTTAGAACAGTTTATGCTACAGCAACCTTGAGAAATTCCAGAATGTCTGATAAGAAATTCCGCAGTTTGGCTGGGGCACACTATGCCCTAAGTTGTTTAGATGCATGGCTACATACTATTACTGTGTATTAGTATTACTTAGTATGTATTACTGTTGGTGTATGTATATCCTGATTGTGAGTGTGGCTGTGCTGAACCAAAACTGTATAAAGATACTGAGAAATACCCCTAAGCATAATATACAAATAGATTCCAAGCTTTTGGCACCCTTTGATTTTAGGAACTTATTGAACTAGAGAGTGGATGTTAAATCTATCATTGCATCTAAACAATTTTCTTCTATCAGACAGTGTTGTGGGCAGAATGGGAGCTTCAGACAAAGTTTATTAGAGAAGCCCTCCTCTTGAGCCAGCAGGTGCAGAAAGGACCCCCTTCCTTTCTAAACTCCTCCTCAGACAGGATCTAGGCATGGCTGGACCAAATCTTAGCCCCAGACTTAGTTTATGTTAAGGGATTATATAGGCCTAATTGAACTTTTGTCTCATAAAATTAAGGATGGCAAAGCAAATACACTTAAATAAATTACTTAAGTGTATTCATTACAATTATGATTAGAACTTAATGATCCTAATCAGAGTTATTCACTATGCAACACGGTGAGCTATAACTATTGGTATAGTTCACTCTTTTTAAAGCAATATTGAAACAATTACATTAAAGCTAGCAAAAACAATACAAGTAGAGATTGATGTTACTCACCCATACCAACAATCTGGGCAGATCTCTTTAGCTCAGCCTGGAGGAGTAACCTTGAAGGGGCATTCCCACTCAGGGGAGGAATCTCTACACACTCTGAGAAGGATCTTGTTTCAGCTATTTTACCCCCTTTCTAGGCAGATCTTGCTACAGCCAGAAATTGTTTGCATACTCCTGACTATGGAAGGATTTACAATGTATCTGTGGAAAAGGGATGTCTGCAAATGTTCTGTTGCAGAGAATTTATCTTACTGGAACTGCAGTTATCAAAGTGTATGTAATGTGAATTTCACAAGCATATATTGTTTCTTCAGTCCTACAGGAGAACTATGTGCATTTTAATATTGCTTGTTGAACACCCTAGAAAACATAAATCTCCCAGTTTTGTCTGCTCTTTCTTTTCACTCTGCCTAGTGTGGGATCAGGCAAAGCTGAGTCTCTATAACTGGCTTTGGTATGAAACAACCACATTTAATCCTTATGTGGAAGAAACATCTTATGAGAACTCGCTTTTAGTACAACAGTCTGGATCTTTGGCTTTGAGCTCCCTAACGCATGTCCTGCATAGCCTCACTCTCAATGCCAGGTAAGACACTGTTCCACTTCACAGGAGCATTTGCCAAGGATCCAATCCTTACATTCTGTGTTTTCTGATAATATTGTTCAAGATGAAGATGGTATGACCTGGGTTCTAGTTGACTTTAAATGAGTAGCATTTGGGTAGCAGACATTGTCCAGTGATAAGATTCACAACCAGGTCTTTGTGCATAAGGCAAAATTAGTTAATATTTTCTAATGGTGGGAATTTTGGGCTGGTTTATTATTTTTTTTAATTATTTATTATTTTTCATTGGTTTTATTTTTTATTTTTCCCTTTCCTCCTTTCACTTAGGGGGATATTCAGACTGCTTGCTCAGCGCCAGCTGGAGAAAAAGGACAGCCCATCTTATCCAGGTGAGTACCCACCTTTTCTCATCTGTTTGGGATGTCACTGTTCACAGCAGTCCTGGGTTTTGGTATGCAGTTTACATCTTCAGCAACAGATGTGCTGGAACAGTTGGCTCAGTGAGGCTGTCTTTCTAGTGGCACTGTGTCTGATTCAGACAGGAATTCAATAGACTGGCTGGTTCTGAAAGGCAGCCTCCTGCATGCTTAGACAGGACTGAGACTGTTGGTGGGGGGCTGTGGAGTAAAAACAAAATTGAAATGAAGACTGAATTTGTAGAACTTGTACTTGCATGTCCTATATAAATGACTTCTGACGTACCCTTGCTTTCTAGGATACATGTGGAATACTCTGTCACTGTCTATAATAGGTGTTGGAGTGGATATGAATAACATTTTAATGGTAAAGAAAACAAGGAAGAGGAGTTGGAAATTAAGAAAGATTAATATTGTAGAAGGTGCATTTAAAGTGGTGTTAAAATTCCATCAGGCAAGAGGGTGACTGGCATGTTAATTCAGCTGTTACCCATTAATTACAGAACTATTACTTTGGCTGTATACTTGCAAGAGGTGATGTTACTGTAGCCACTGTGGTCTCAGCCAAAGCAAGACTTTCAGGTGGATAACATATGGTGATGGACCTGGAAACATCTGACAATCTTACGACTTCAGTTTCTTGTTCTTGCCTTTTTCTGTCTCCAGGGCTGTCTTTCCAGGACTTTTACCAGCAGTGTCGGGAGGCTTTCCTTGTCAACAGTGACTTGACACTCAGGGCACAGCTGACAGAATTCAGGGACCACAAGCTCATCCGGACCAAGCGGGTGAGTCCAGAGAAGAATTCTGGATACTCAGCCAGTTTGAATAAAAACGATACTTACTTGCTGTATTGTTTTAAGCACCTAGGAACTGGCAAGGGACTGAAATTCTGTAATTGAAGTTCTTTCCATGCCTTCAATTTGTCAACACTCTTTATGTGGATAGAGGGCTGTAGAAACGTAGTGTGCTTTGTTTATTCAGCAACCTACTTCTTTCTGAAGACTGTGGGAAGTAGTAGACTGTGGAGCCTGCCATTCTGCTTCCAATAGTATTACCTGTATTTCCATAAGGAAAGAATGCAGACTTGTCATAATAATGAGGCAGTATAGCAGTACAAGATACAGAAACACAGTGTTGAGGAGCTTTGTAGTTCCAGACAAGCATAACCCACCAGAAGATTTCTCATTTAGTGACTTTCCTCATTATTTGTGCATTTCCTGTGTTGCTCCAGTGAAATATTCCAGGTTTTCAGCAATGTAGTTGTTCAGAATGCTGTCCAGCTCTGGTAATCCAGACTACAGATAAATGCTAGCATTGCAGTGCTGTCTAGTGGCTTGCCTGGCACTGTACACTGGTGTTAACAATGCCTGTGCATGTCTGTTTTCAGGGAGCTGATGGTGTGGAATACTTACTAATTCCTGTCGATGACAGTACCTTGACTGACTTCTTAGAGAAAGAGGATGAAGATGTGTAATGTCCTCAGTGTCTACAGCAATTGCTCTCAATGGCTGCTGGAGAGGGGCCTATGCTCAGATCTTTCTCCAGCCTCACAACTGCACTGATAAGTAATAATTCTAATCAATCTTGCTCATTGTTCAACTACCTCAGGTAGTTTGGAACGATGACTTCTGTAAGCAAGGCCTCTCTTGTGCTCTAGTTGGATTTGTCTGCTTTGTCTCTTAGCTCAGACAATGCCTTCTTCCTCTCTGTGCAGCCAACCTCACAGCCAGAAAAACTGACTCGGTGGGATTGTGCCTTCTGCTCTCTACCTCAGTAGACATGAGAGTTTTATTGGAACAATTTACTTGGGAAGTGCAAATCACAAGATGGTTAAGAGCTTTAGTTTGTACTGTTGATGCAGCTTCTCTCAACTGAGTGCTATCTAGTATTCCTCTACCATTTAGACAAAACTAGCTTCCAGTGTAAGAAGACAAGATTTATAATGCTACGAGACCTGCCTCAACTGCATGAGGAAAGGAGAATACTAGTGGGTTTGGGATGCTGCAGGTAACTTAGTAAATTCTGGCAATAAAACTGAAGGACTTGTCCCAAACCCACTTCCTTTTATAAGATTTAGATAATTGAAATTATGGACTCATGTCATTGCCTGCAACTTTCCAAGGTGCAATCCAGGAATATGAAGAGGCTATGTAGCTTTTTTTGTTTATTTTTTCAAAGCTTGATTGTATATTTATATTTTTTACATGAGGAGTGTCCACTGATTCTGGAGGAGGCCTTAAATGCCACTTAGAAACTCTCCCTGTATAAAAGTTCTTAGAGGTTGGGAGATTGCTGAAGTTTGACATCTTTTCTTCAATTATTTTTTTCTCAGTTATGTGGGAGGAAGTTCTATAGTTCCATCATCTATAGTCTGCCAGCCAGACTTCAGGGACTCTGTATGCCTAATATTTGGTAGCTGTGTTACAGCTCAGTGTTGTAATAGTTCAAATCAATCAAATAAAGTACTTTATTAATTTTCATAGTCTTGTCTTTCACAATCTTTTTATGTTACAGGAAGATAGAGATCCTTGTGGCAGTTGTGCAAAAGCCTAATTTTCATTATTATGTCAAATATCTGTGCAGAAGATTACAAACTACTGAGTAGAAATATTTTATATTGTTTCTTACATCAAAATCAAGACTCATTTGCCTGCCTTTTAATACCAGTATATAGGTTTTGAAGAGAACTAAAACATCCCATGGAGTAATAGTTACCTCATCTGCCCCTACTGACAGAAGCAAGAGAGATGTATGGCCTGACTTTTGTATTAGAAACGTAGAGCATCTACCTACCTCACTATCAACTTGATTCTTCATACAGGTCCTTTCCCTTTACTTGGGAAAGAAGAAATTTCTCACTTCTCAAGATACTGAGGTACCTTCATGGAATTGGTAAGAATGATGACCTTGATATAGCCTAGGTAGCTTCAGATAAACCAGTCATCTCTTTCCACTTAAATGTAAGTGGAACAAGACATGCAATTAGATTCCTATTAGAGATTCCTATTAGATAGAGACATTGCTTGATGAGCCACTTTTATTAACTTAAAAGGATAGAGCTAAGAGCTTTACAAATTTGTAATGAAATACTTACCATCCAGAGATGGCAGAGTATACAACAGTGAGATTTATTTTTCTTAAAAAATCCCAACAGAAAAAACTAACTTGGAAAATAAAACTCATTATCAGTGGTGAAAATACTACTTTGTTTGGTTTTAGTAACCCAGTAATTAAAAGCCACAGTTATGGAAACTTTTAAAAAAGAAAGTAACAAAGGCACATGAATTTACAGCTTTGTTAAGGAATTCAGTTTCAACCTTACAAAGCTTTTTTTTTAATTGAGAGTCCCTCTTCTGAAAAGCCTTAAAGCTGCATTAGTGGTAGATTGTGCAACTAGTACCAACGACTTGCTTTGGGTTCTCTATTTATTTGCATCTGAGTGGTGCCTTAGTATAATTGTTAATGCAAACATCTCCATCCTTTCATTAACCACTATTTCTGAAATTTATTAGGTAAAACATCAGTGACTTGCACTGACATGATTTGACATAACTGTAGTAGGGTAGAACTGCTGCATAAGCTTAAATCTGCAGATAAAAGTCAGGTTTTATGTATTTTACCCAAACCAATCCTTAAGTATCATGGTTATCAACTGTATCTTAATAACATTAAGCAGTAACAGTAAATTTATTCAAGTACAGTTCAGTAACTGAGTAAATGAGCCTTTGGCATTCTGAAACAAGCATTTATTTTCTGACATGACAAAATATACCTCAGACTTTGAGGGACCATACAGTACAATCATTCTGTACTGGACCAATTGAAAGCACCTTCATTAAGCTCTGCAGCTGCATAGGTCTGTGCAAGATAACACTAATTTTCTCTCTCCAATTTCCTCCCCCTATGCCACCTGGAGAGGATCTCTGTCTTTCTCAGACACAATGATGTTGATTTTGTTCTGTAGGTGAATGGCGAGTGTGTCACGCAGCTCTGACAGGAAGCCTCGCTCAGTGTTACTGTGCTCACACAGAATAACACTTATCCCATTGGCAACTGCATCCAGCACGTCATGGTGGGACATCTCTCCTGCCATTTTGAGAAAGAAATGTCACGGAGATCACTAATGGCACAGTTCAGGTAACCAGGTCTCTGCAGTGTATGGAGTATCTCAGGTGAAAGCTGTGGTGATGTGATGGACTATAGGCCAGAAGCAGAAATGCACCACCACCTGCTCAGCAGGAACATGGAACACTCCTGCTGCAGGGTCCTGATATCCCAGTATGCAGCTGAGTCAAACCACAGAAATTCCTTGCCATCTTTGAATAGTTGTAAATTCTGCCCATTGGGCAGAAAATAAAAAAGCTCAGAGTGGTCTGTAAGAGGATGGAGGAAAGCAGCTGGGCAGTCTGAGGGTCAGCTCTGCAGGACTGCACATAATGGGGAGAAGGGGCAGTGATTCCTACAGAATGCATGGCATTTGTTTGTTTTTGTCTCAAATGACTTTTTTTATAAAATTAATGAAACAGCAGTCTGTTACCTGTAAGATAGAGGTCAGCTTCTGTTCCCTTCAGGACACTGCTCCCTGAACCAGCACACAGAGCAGCTTTCTTCACTGGTGATTCTGCAGGATACAAGGTGCCACAGTTAAACTTCTCTTTTTTTCAACTCTCATGTGTGTATTGCTTGTAACTGTTTCGGTTAACTACTACCTTGATTCTAGAGTAAATGTAAATTTGTTGAAGGAAGAGACACATCTGTCAGTTTGAAAGAGTCATAGGCCTATTACACCTCTGACAATACAGCAAAATCCTCTGTGATAGGTGGATGTTTTTCAAGGGGCAGGAAACTTTGCAGAAAACTCCAACACAGAGGCTGGCTGCTGGTAACCCTTCTCCTAGTGAAGTGTTAGTTAGTTTTCTGAACTCTTTAATAGGCCCCTACTCTTTCCAGGACTCTTGTGTTCCACCAACATTAGTTTCCCAGCTAATGATGCCACTAAGGCAGCATTTTGCCTCTGAGATATACTGGTTCCTAACTTCTGGCACTTAGAAGGCCAGTCTTAAAGCAAAAGCTGAAAGCCACTCCATGCCAATAAAAATTGTCCATTTGCTGTGATTGCTAATTCCAAGCTATTACATATATGACAGTGACATGAATTTTAATTCTTCATATACATTGCATTCACTAAGGAGAGGGGACATACAACACAGGGAATTTTCAAAATCTGTTAAGGTTTTACAGTATGTTGCCTTGCAATTACTGTTGATTTAAGTGGAGTTACACCACTTCAATTCCATACCATAAAAAGGCTTTGAAGTAGTTTGGGGATTTTTACTGCAATTGTCAGTCCAATAAGATTTCTGCCTCCTAAGTTACAAAGGGCTCTCAACAAATTTACTTCCACAAATTCTACTAGCTGTGCTCCTTGGACATTAGGATAAGTAGCTGGGATAAGAGGATGTTTACCCCACATCTTACTAATGACCCCACTGTTGGAGGTAGTTCACCTTTATTTTATCTTTGACACGGTTCTGTGTTCATAATGATACCATAAAGTGTCTTACTCTTAAGTGCTCTGAATTTTAACATTCAGTCAGAAAAGGGAGCACACAATGAAACAGTACACCTTTGTGCCCGATATCCTGGTCAGGAAAAAAAAATCTTAGTCATTATATAAATTACAAAAAATGGTATCTTTCATTCAACTTGTGCTGTCCCTTCTTCACTACATCAACCAGCGTAATATAGAAACCCATTAAAACACACATGAGATTCTTTTCATATGCCTGTAAATTCTAAGATGCTGTTTCTTAACAGCGCTTCCTAGTTCTTGCAAGTAAACCTGTTAAAGGCAGCAGTGTTTCCCAGTGTCCTGCAGACACTCATGCTCCCTGTGTTCCTGCAGTGCCAGTCCTAGCAGGAGTCTGGCTTGCTGGCCCATTTACCGAGTGTCCTGCCTGCTCCCACGGCTACGCGGACGTGGGGGAGCTGCAGGTGACCTTTGATACGCTCGATTATGTCTGACAAGGAGACCGGCTCGCTCAGGGTGCACAGGCGTCCCAATCCTGTATGGGGAAGAAGAGGCTGAAAAAAAAAAATTAAAATTACTGTTAAAAAGCTGATTCCAGATGCTTGCATTGCTTTCCACACCATAACAGGATGAATATATTGGGCTTGCAGGAACATCACTGAACTTTATAAAAATGTATGTATGTGATGTTCTCAAATTTAGCATATGAACTACACCAGCTATTGGAGCTGATTCAAGAATTGGTACAGACCACATGGTTTCATTGCTTTGGAAAACGTGTGTGGCTTCAAATCTTCATAGGCCAGTATTTCAGAGCACTGGAAAGCTGAGTACTGCATTTCAGTGTTTAGGGTACTCAGCTCACACAAGTAATACATTCACAGGAAGTAATTTTGTGATTTTGTTACCTTTTGTAGTAAGAGAATCTCAGTCTTGTGATAAAGAAGGCTGTTCTGGGACAATAATGCCACCACCTCCGGCAGGGCTTTCTGAGAGCAGTTCAAACTGACTCGTGTTTGCTCCTCACCTTCAACCCTGAGGAAAGACATGCCTGGTGCTTGTTAAGAAGCCAGATAAAATTTTGGCATTGTAATTGTTATATTACAGCATCATAATTATTAATTTTGGCATTATCATTATTATTATATCTTTGAAGAAACAAATATGGCAATTTAACTCAACTGTCATTAAATTTCCTGTTAATACTCTTCTTTAACACTCCTCATCTATGTGATGCTAGATTTGAGTTGCTATTACCATTCAGCATGACACAGGTTGACCAGAAAGGAACAATTATTCCTTAAGTTTCTTGTTCTGTTGCTGAAAAATACAGCAGCAATGCACAGAGGAACAAAATTATTAGAACAGTAAAATACAGCAACTTATTGTTTCAAACAACAGAAAGAATACAACATTAAGAGAGAGGAGCAGATACCTAGCTGGAAGAGTAGTGAGACAAGAGATCTCTGGGATGTCTTTGATTTTGGACAGCACTGCATCCAGATGCTCAGCATCTACACAGAACTCAACCCGGTGAGTGCCCTCAGTTGGAGAGTTCGGCGCAGTTGATGGATGCAGTGGGACAGAAGTACAGGCACCTGAGAGAACAGTAAAAGATTGCTGGTTTATAAAGCAGGGTAAGTATCCTAACAGTGATTTAGCACCTAATTTAAAGAGATGTGGCACAAATATAAAAATTTTGCACTCAAATCCTTTTTCTCTGACCAGAGCTGTGAGGTTTTTATTCTCCTGTCTCCATTAGGCACAGTCTATTTTAAGTCCAGAGAAGCTGATGGATGCTTATTATTTGCCAACTTTAACACCATCAGTTTTATTCTAATGATTGTACAAAACCAGAAGAAGTTTCTGGTTTGTATGACAGGCTGGAAAAGACATTTGTGAATCATAATACAGGATAAAAATCTAAAATAATTTCACATAGCTTAAATA